GAAAACGGTGTGGGTGGTGGGGTGGCGGTGTCGCCAACTTTTGAAGCCTGTTACTTCTTCTTGACGGGAAGACAAGCAAAAACCAACCCTTCGGGATTTCACTGGCGCCGCCCCAGCAGGGGTCGGCGGATAACTATGTCAAAAAACTATATATATATATATATGTGTGTGTGTGTATGTGTATATATATATACACACACACACATACGCATACATAGATTCCTACCAACTCTTGGGGGGCCCTAATCCGCTTTTCGCTCCTACCAGGCAACTGCCTCAGGACCGCCTCGGCACCGCTCTTGCTCCGCAACTTGGCTGCAGATCCGCGAGGAGCCCTCGCGGCCGAAGACCTGGCATTTAAAATCCATTTTGGTTTGGACGATTTTCCGGCTATCCAGTCGAATCTTGTGCTCGCTTCCGCTGCAGATACTTGCTTGCTTGGTTTGACCGTTGTAACACTTAGAGATATAGGTCCGGATAGGACCATGTTTCAACTTGTCCTTAGTCTTGGCCAGACAGCCATAATTTGGGTGGCCTTGGCTGAACTTCGCCCATACTGTAGCCCGTGGTGGCTGCATGCCGCCGAAGAGTATTAGTGCAACAAAGGCAATACCAGCCGCACGGCAACGAGCCTGACGGTGGCTTTCATCGCCGGGTCCGTGCCTAAAAATGTCTAGTTACGAACCGGCAGAGTGCCGCAATGGCGCTATGGATGAGTCTTCTGACTGCCTGACCTCGACCTCGACTCCTCGACTTCACTGCGGCAGGTCAGCGGGCGATTGCATCTTCGATCGTTTCGAGCTGCAGTATCAGGATCGCAGCCCACACAACTCGCCTTTTTCTGGTGTTTGGCTCTTCCGATCCCTTAGGAGCCGGGCTCAACTTGGATTGCTGTGTGCCGGACCCAGATCCGCGAGAGAGATCGGCTGCGATTTTATGCGTCTTTGGCGCAGCTCCAGGCCAGCAGGATGTGGCTCCTTGGATGTGCGCCTTGGTCCCAGCTGCACCATCCCCAATCTGGCCCAGGCTCTCCTAGACGAGTTGCCCTAAAGTCCACAAGTTCAACCAGAGGGAGACCCCTTTGAAGAGGACACGGCGTACTACTTCCGCGTCCGGGAGCTTTGCACCAATGGCGCCCCCTTGGCGTCTCCTTGGGGACTTACGGAGGATTGTGAGCTCCTCGTAGTGCCTGTGAACTGTAAACTGAAGTCACCATGCATCAGGAGTGTTTGCTACTGGCGGAAGCAGTCACAGCGACACCAGTAAAAACCTTGATCGGACGTGAATCCATGATCCTATACTGCATCTATGGGTGCGTGCGTACGCGTGCGTGCGCGTGCGTGCGCGTGCGTGCGCGCGCGTGGCGTGTGCGTGTGCGTGTGCGTGTGCGTGTGCGTGTGCGTGTGCGTGTGCGTGTGCGTGTGCGTGTGCGTGTGCGTGTGGGTGTGGGTGTGGG